CTACCCCCTCAGATTGCACAGACGTGCGGAACGATCCCTGAGGACATTTCTTTTTTTGTTCGTTTTTTTTTTTTCCTGTTTTTTTTGGGGGGCTTTTCTAGATATTTTTTTTTAATTTGTTTTGTTTTCTTTTCCCTCTTTTTCCCTTTTTGTCTTTCTTCATTACTCAGTTTCTTGTCTCTCTATATCTTCCTTCTCTTTCTATTCCCTGAATACCTGGTGTTGTATACCTCTATGCCTTCTAGCCAGGCTATACTGCAACACCTGAGAGTGACTTCCCCAGACCTCATAGCTGCACCGGTGGGATCCCTAGGAACTTTGCGGTTCTTTAACCTTTCCGATTATTATTTATTCATTCTTTTTTTCTCTTCCCCTTTCTGTTTTTCTCCATTTCATAGTCTCTCATCTCTCCACTCCAGCGGCAAGCTCCCCTAGCATTCTTTTCTGTTTCTTTGTATGTTTTTGGCTCCTGTTCCTCTCTCCTCTCTCCCATATCCATCTTAGCTCCACACATAACAGTCTCCCTGCTGCATCCTGCCTACCTGCACCGTGCGCTTGACATCACACCACCAAGCAGCACAGGCATGGCCTACTGGAACTTGCCCTGCACTGATCACCGACCCGCCCTGGTGGCTGTAGTAAGTGACACAAACAACCCGTCCCAGTAACTCCTCTTCAGCTAGACCTGCCCTGTCATACCATATCTGAGTGACTGACCCTGCCAATTGGAGGAGAAAATTATTGTGCCGACAGACGAGCAAACAACAAAGAACACACAGTCCGCCTGCTCAGACATAGTCAAATTTTAAAAAGGATGAAACAAACAAATCTACAATCAATAAACGAGAAAAATAGCTACCGAATGCCCCGAAGACAGCAGACAATATCAAAACATTTACAAAAACAGGACAGGATGGTTCCAGTAGGCGTCCAAAATAAAACACCGGATGACTCTCCAGTGGAAGAAAATGCACTAGAACTACCTGATAGGGAATTCAAATCTCTAATACTTAGAATTCTCCAAGAGCTAAGGCAAAAAGCTGACAAATATGAGGAAAAAATAGACAAATTCATGGAAAATACAAAAAATTGGAAGAATTCAGGAAAATAATGCAGGAACAAAATGCCAAAATAAATTCACAAC